TAATGGCTGAGAACTTCCCAAACCTGGGGAGAGAGATGGAACTTCATCTGACAGAAGCCAACAGATCTCCAAACTTTATCACTGCAAGAAGACCAACCCCAAGGCATATAGTAGTGAAGCTAGCAAAAGTCAACGACAAGGAGAAAATACTAAGGGCAGCCAGGCAGAAGAAAATAAGCTACAAAGGAACCCCCATAAGGCTAGCAGCAGATTTCTCAGCAGAAACTTTACAGGCTAGAAGAGAGTGGAATGATATATTCAAAACTCTGAAGGACAAAAACCTGCAGCCAAGAATACTCTACCCAGCGAAAATATCCTTCAAATACGATGGAGAAATAAAAACTTTCCCAGATAAACAAAAATTAAGGGAGTTCATTGCCACAAAACCTCCTCTTCAAGAAATGCTCAGGAAAACCCTCATAACTGAAAAATCAAAAAAAGGAAAGGGGCTACAAAACCAAGAGAAAAGGAGATAAGTAGAAGGACAATAATAGAAAGTAGCAGCTCTCCATCAGAACAGGTTAGCAAAAGTTAAATAAAACATTAAAGATAAAAGGAAGGGAAACACCAAGAATAAATATAACCCTGTCATTTTAACCACAAACTCACAACACAAGAAAGAAGGGAAAAAAAAAATCTGACAATAACAACCTAGAAGGGGAAGAGAAAAGGGATAGAAGGTTTTAATTTAAGGAAATAAGAGGCTATCAGAAAATGGAGTATCTCATCTATGAGATGTTCTATACTAACCATATGGTAACCACTAAACAAATAACAAGAATAAAGACACAAATTACAAATAAGAAGACACCCAATACAGAAATTTACATACCTGAATTAGTAATCCAAAAACCATGCCATAAGAAACAAAGGAAATGCAAGAGAACCGGAAAACATGAGATAAAATGGCAGCAGTAGGCCCCCACATTTCAATAATCACTCTAAATGTAAATGGATTGAACTCTCCAATCAAAAGACACAGAGTGGCAGGATGGATAAAAGAACAAGAACCAACAATATGCTGCCTCCAGGAAACACACCTCAGCCCCAAAGACAAACACAGACTCAGAGTGAAAGGATGGAAGACAATACTCCAAGCTAATAATGAACAAAAGAAAGCAGGTGTCGCTATACTAATATCAGACAAAGTAGACCAAAACAAAACAGATAAAGAAAGACAAAGAGGGACAATACATAATGATAAAAGGGACACTCCACCAAGATGATATAACACTTATAAATATATACGCACCCAACACAGGAGCACCAAAATTTGTAAAGCAACTCTTAACAGAACTAAAAGGAGACATCAACAACCATACAATAATAGTAGGGGACCTTAACACCCCATTAACACCAATGGATAGATCATCCAGACAGAAAATCAACAAGGAAATTATAGAATTAAATGAAAAATTAGACCAGTTGGACTTAATAGATATATAGAGAACACTTCATCCAAAAACAGCAGGTTACACATTCTTCTCAAGTGCGCTTGGAACATTCTCAAGGATAGACCATATCTTGGGAAACAAAGCAAGCATCAATAAATACAAGAGAGTTGAAATAATATCAAGCATCTTTTCTGATCATAATGCTATGAAACTAGAAATCAACTACAAGAATAAAGCAGGGAAAGGTGCAAAAATGTGGAGACTAAACAACATGCTACTGAACAAACAATGGATTATTGAAGAAATCAAATATTATCTGGAGACAAATGAAAATGAAAACACGCCATACCAACTCATTTGGGATGCAGCAAAAGCAGTCCTAAGGGGGAAATTCATTGCAATACAGGCTCACCTCACTAAACAAGAAAAATCTCACATAAGCAACCTCAAACAACACCTAACAGAATTAGAAAAAGAAGAACAAACAAAGCCCAAAGTCAGTAGAAGGAGAGAAATAATAAAAATTAGAGCAGAAATAAACAATATTGAAACAAAAAAGACAGTAGAAAGGATCAACGCAACAAAGAGTTGGTTCTTCAAAAAAATTAACAAAATCGACAAACCCTTAGCCAGACTCACTAAGAAAAGAAGAGAGAAATCTCAAATAAATAAAATTAGGAATGAGAGAGGAGAAATCACAACAGATACCAAAGAAATACAAGGGATCCTAAGAGAATACTATGAAAAACTATATGCCAACAAATTGAACAACCTAGAAGAAATGGACAAATTCCTAGACTCTTACAACCTCCCCAAACTGAATCAGGAAGAAATAGAGAATCTGAATAGACCAATCACAAGTAAAGAAATAGAAACAGTAATCAAAAACCTCCCCAAAAATAAGAGTCCAGGACCAGACAGCTTCTCTGGAGAATTCTACCAAACATTCAAAGAAGATTTAATACCTATCCTTCTCAAACTATTCCAGAAAATTGAGGAAGATGGAGCACTCCCTAACACATTCTATGAAGCCAACATCACTCTGATCCCCAAACCTGACAAGGACAACACAAAGAAGGAAAACTATAGGCCGATATCACTGATGAACATAGATGCAAAAATCCTCAACAAAATTCTGGCACACTGAATACAGCAATACCTCAAAAAGATTATACACCATGATCAAGTGGGATTTATACCAGGGACACAGGGATGGTTCAACATCCGCAAGTCAATCAACGTGATACACTACATTAACAAAATGAGAAACAAAAACCACATGATCATCTCAATAGATGCAGAGAAAGCATTCGACAAGATCCAACATCCATTTATGATAAAAACCCTCAATAAAATGGGTACAGAAGGAAAGTACCTCAACATAATAAAAGCCATATATGACAAACCCACAGCCAACATCATACTCAACAGACAAAAACTGAAACCCATCCCTCTCAGAACAGGAACAAGACAAGGGTGCCCACTTTCACCACTCCTATTCAACATAGTACTGGAGGTGTTGGCCAGAGCAATTTGGCAGGAAAAAGAAATAAAAGGAATCCAAATAGGCAGTGAAGAAGTAAAACTCTTGCTGTTTGCAGACGACATGATCTTATATATAGAAAACCCCAAAGAATCCATAGGAAAACTATTAGAAACAATCAACAGCTACAGCAAAGTTGCAGGGTATAAAATCAACATACATAAATCAGTAGCATTTCTATACACTAACAATAAACTAACAGAAAAAGAACTCAAGAACTCAATCCCATTAACAATCACAATGAAAAGAATAAAATACCTTGGGATAAATTTAACCAAGGAAGTGAAAGATTTATACAATGAAAACTACAAGACTTTCTTGAAAGAAATTGATGACGACATAAAGAGATGGAAAGACATTCCATGCACATGGATTGGAAGAATAAACATAGTTAAAATGTCCATACTACCTAAAGCAATCTACAGATTCAACGCTATCCCAATCAGAATCCCAATGACATTCTTTACAGAAATTGAACAAAGAATCCTAAAATTCATATGGGGCAACAAAAGACCGCGAATTGCTAAAGCAATCCTGAGTAAGAAAAACAAAGCCAGAGGCATCACAATCCCTGATTTCAAAACATACTACAAAGCTACAGTGATCAAAACAGCATGGTACTGGTACAAAAACAGGTGCACAGATCAATGGAACAGAATCGAGAGCCCAGAAATAAAACCACACATCTATGGACAGCTAATCTTTGACAAAGGAGCTGAGGGCCTACAATGGAGGAAAGAAAGTCTATTTAACAAATGGTGCTGGGAAAACTGGACAGCCACATGTAAAAGATTGAAAATTGACCATTCTTTTTCACCATTCACAAAAATAAACTCAAAATGGATCAAAGACCTAAAGATTAGGCCTGAAACAATAAGTCTTCTAGAAGAGAATATAGGCAGTACACTCTTAACATCAGTTTCAAAAGAATCTTTTCGGACACCATAACTCCTCAGATGAAGGAAACAATAAGAAGAATAAACAAATGGGACTTCATCAGACTAAAGAGCTTCTTCAAGGCAAGGGAAAACCGGATTGAAACAAAAAACAGCCCACTAATTGGGAAAAAATATTTACAAGCTACTTATCCAACAAAGGGTTAATCTCCATAATATATAAAGAACTCACACAGCTCAACAACAAAAAAACAAACAACCCGATCAAAAAATGGGCAGAGGACATGAACAGACATTTCTCCAAAGAAGATATAAGGATGGCCAATAGACACATTAAAAGATGCTCATCATCACTAATCATGAGGGAAATGCAAATCAAAACTACACTAAGATATCACCTTACACCCATTAGACTGGCCAAAATATCCAAAATCAAGAGTGACAAATGTTGGAGAGGTTGTGGAGAAAAAGGAACCCTCATACACTGTTGGTGGGAATGCAAACTGGTGCAGCCACTATGGAAAACAGTATGGAGATTTCTCAAAAAGTTAAAAATAGAAATACCTTATGACCCAGCCATCCCACTACTGGGTATCTATCCTAAGAACCTGAAATCAGCAATTCCAAGAGTCCCATGCACCCCTATGTTCATCGCAGCATTATTTACAATAGCCAAGACGTGGAACCAACCTAAGTTCCCAGCAACTGATGATTGGATAAAGAAGATATGGTATATATACACAATGGAATACTACTCAGCCATAAAAAAGGATAAAATCGTCCCATTCGCATCAACATGGATGGGCCTTGAGGGTATTATGTTAAGCAAAATAAGCCAGACAGAGAAAGACGAACTCTATATGACTCCACTCATAGGTGGAAGTTAACATATAGACAAGGAGAACTGATCGGTGGTTACCAGGGAAAGGGGGGTGGGGGGGGTACAAAGGGTGATGTGGTGTACCCACAACATGACTAACAATAATGTACAACTGAAATCTCACGAGGTTGTAATCTATCATAATCTTAATTAAGAAAAAAAGTAAAAAAAAATAGCAATTTTTACCACTTGGTTTTATATTTGTGAAATTATTGCTGATATTCTGTTCAAATGTTATATGGCAACCCATAATCTTCATTAATGTTTTTCTCTGCTTTCTATTTTAGGGTAACTGGAAATGTAAACAAGAATAAGTTGTTTGTTTCCTGATGGCTTTTAGTAGATACTGACACATTGTTTATGATGGCATCCGAGACTGAGAAGACCCATACTTTACTCCAGTCTTGTAGCACTGAATCTCTTATTTCCAGCCTTGGTCTGGGAATATTTTGTCTAGTAGCTGACAGACTTCTTCAGTTTTCTATAATTCAGCAAAATGACTGGGTTCGTGCCCTCTCAGATAATGCGGTACATTGTGTGATTGGCATGTGGTCGTGGGCAATAGTCATTGGAGTCAAGAAGAAGACTGACTTTGGAGAAATCGTTTTAGCTGGATTTTTAGCCTCTGTTATTGATGTCGACCACTTTCTTCTAGCTGGATCCCTATCTTTACAGGTGAGAAGCATATATGTTAAATTTTTACGGTCTTTCCCTTCATTTCTTTGGCACCATTTTATTGATCTTCACAGTGTCATTTTAGTTAGAGCTAGAGATTTGCCTTATTTTAAAATAAGAAAGCTCATTCATCCAACTTTTTCGAGCGGTTGGTATCTCCCTGAAGGTACATACAGATATGTTGCTAATCAAGTTATTTGGCATCACAAAGTGCATGGATGTGCACACGAGGACTCACTGATTGTATCTGAGGCATTACGTGCTGGCTTTACAAAGGATGTATTTAACCAAGTCTTGAAGGAAGGATTAGCCAACTGGTTTAGAGTAATAGGGGGTCATTCTCGAGGCTGTCCTAGTTTTTATATCAGTGTTCTTTCTTCAGGACTACACTTAAAGTTTCCCCTTATTCATATGTTTAACAGTTAATATGGAGCTCCCAAGCGCTCTGTAACAGTTGAGTAGTTTTAAGATGATTCCCATTCCTGGGGAATGATTTTAAAGGGTTCAGTCCCTGAGTCCCTCTTGGGAGCAAAGGTGCACATTTCAGTGGGCTGATGAGGACACAGTCCTTGGTGGAGAAATTGAAGAATTTCATTAAGGCTTCAGGGGTTAGCTATACATTAACCTATTAGCCTTGCAAATGAACTATACTAAAAGTGGCAGTTAAGATCATATTTTCTAAGTGTAGTCAACAGATTTGCCTATTTTTTATGTGTTTATGATCTGTAAACATTTCAGGAAAGAAATACAAACTCATAGAGCAAGGACTTTATCTGCGTGGTTCACCACCGGCCTAGAGCAGTGCCTGGCTCACCTTGTAGGTGTTCAGTCAATATTTGTTGAAAAAAATGAGAAATGATCATTTCTTCTTCCTGTTGTGTGTCAAGTACTGTAACAGGTATTTCTCAGAGGTTGTCTCACTTAATTAGAAACTTATCAGTCAGGAATCAGTAATTTCTGATTAAAGACAAATTTTAGCTTTATTGCTGTAAGTGGACACAGCACAACATTGCTGTTTAAGATTGGAATCAGAAGACCTGAGTTTGAATCCTAGTTGTGAGGTGTTAGAAGAGCACTTTTCTGCTTTCAGTCAGTTTTCTCATTTATAAAATGTGGATCATAGCGTAACTTACCTCATAGGGTTGTTGTGAGGAGTAAATGAGCATGTTATGTGACATACCCTGGCAAATAGTTAATAATAAGTGTTAGTAAAGATTGGGCTAACCTGTGAAGTATTATGAAAAGTGTGGTTCAAAAATGCATTCATCTAGAGTTTAACTATACTGTTGTAGTTTTTAAAAACATAGAGGCTGTCTACTGTATTTATTCTTTGATTCATTTAGAAGCAGTAGTGTTAAGAATATGAGCCACTGGGCGCTGGCCCAGTAGTGTAGTGGTTAGGTTTGTGCACTCCACTTCAGCAGCCTGGCATTCACCAGTTTGGAACCTGGGCGTGGACCCACACACTGCGCATCAAGTCATGCTGTGGCAGCATCCTACATAGAAGAACTAGAAGGACTTACAACTAGGATACACAACTATGTACTGGGGCTTTGGGGAAAAAAAAAAAGAGGAAGATTGGCAACAGATGTTAGCTCAGGGCCAATATTCCCCACAAAAAAAAAAAAAAAGAAAGAATATGAGCCACAGAGTCAGACAGAGCCAGTATCAAATCCAAGCTCTGCCACTTAATAACTGCATGACATGGGGAGAGTTACTTAGTCTGCTTAAGTCTCGGTTTCCTCCTCTCTAAAATAATCCCCACCTCAAGACTGTTATAAGGATTGAATGAGGTAGTGCACATAAAGTATAGTGTAGTGCTGGCATTGATCCTTACTTTTGAATGAAATCCTAAACTTTCTTCACTTTCATTATAAGACTGTATGTGATCATCAGTATCAGTAATAAATATCAAAACTGAGTATTCATGATACTTATTTTTAAGTATCTATTTTGACTTCTATTTTTTAAATGATTTATTTTTACTTCAATAATTTTGATACTGTCCTTTTCTTCTTTCATTATTCATTATTTTTCTATGAGTGAAAAATCTGCATTGGTATTTTAGAAATTAGCCTGAGCAACAGAAATTTCTTTCTTCTTCTTTAGCATCTATTAATATAAATAGACTTCACATGTAAGTGTGAAGAGTCAGTGTTCCTCCAGATGTAGCCAGAGCATAACTGCTAATCATCTCAACATCAAGCTAGTGCTTTCTTCCAAGTGTGGATGACCGTAGGCCCCCTCATCCCACTCTGCTATCAGGAGCATGATATATTGTGGGTATAGAACTTAAAAACAAAAGTGGGGACAGAAATGGAATAGTACAACAGAAATGTTATGTGCGCTGAGAAAGTAGAAATGAAACAACTAAAAATGTGGAGGAGAAGGGAGAGGGAAGAGGAATGTAGAATAAACCCTTTGCTCGATGTGCAGTCAATAGGTGGGAGTTAAAGAACACTGGTTTAAGGAGTGGATTTACAAGATTCCCAGTTTCAAGGTGGTCGATTTGACAGTGTGGCAAGGTACAGTGTCTCTGATGGATGAATTTTTTTTTTTAATGTGGTAGGAAGGTGATGTCCTCTACATTTTTTCTTTACTGCTTCTTTTCCCTTTTACCACCTCATCTCTGAAGGTACGGTACCTCTCCCTTCCTTTTCACCATCTTCTCCCGCAGAACCAATGGCTTCTAAAGCTTTGTATTATTCCCACTTAAAGTCCTTTCTCTGTGGTCAGTGGTCTGATCGACCATGACCCTTGCCAGTGTTTCCACATTAGGTTGGACTTTCTTCCCAGTGGTAACTGTAGGTCCATCTTAGGTTTCCCCTCCTCTCTCTTCAATGCAATTTTTCCTGGCTTGTGGTGGGTTCGTGAGAGAGCTCACTGATTTAGTGTTGATTTCATCACTCGAGTATCTGAAGTTTGAGCATTCTCTGAATTCTGTCTGTACTGAATGGGGTTTGGTAATAGTTTTATTTGTCCTTGTTCTGTAATGTTTTGGAGGCCATGTGGGGAAATTTGGATTTAGGCAATCTATCCTCAGCTTTCTTTTTATTAGGAATTATCTAGTTGCAAATTAGCCTTTAAAAAATGAGAGAATAAAAGCTTACTCATGGATCATTCAGGGGTTAAGCCTGAAATTTTCATTCGTTCAGATATTGATTACGTTTTTTTGCAGTGATTTAGAAATTTTATTGAAGTTTATTTAATTCAGCTTTAGAATACTTATTTAAGGTAACATAATCTTTCTAAATGTTGTAAATAAATTCTGAAAGTATTCAAGGCTAATATAAAATGGTTATAACAAAAACATTCCCCTTTTGTGCCTTTATTAATTGAAGAATATTTTATTCCATTGTGAGATTTTTCTCAATCTTCTTAGAGGCCCCAGATAATTCTTTGAAACTCCAAATTTACCCAAATCATACATTTAGGATATAGATTACGTTTGTATTGTGACTTTTCTAAGCAAATAATAGGAAACAAAAAAATTAATCACCATGTTCTTGAGATCCTGATATTATTTTTAATGCAAAGGATGTTGTGCTCACACTTTTATCTTCTTTGCCTTATACAGAATGGATTTAATGCATTCTACTCCTTTCCCCCTCAGGCTGCTCTGACTCTTCCCAGAAGACCTTTCCTTCACTGTTCTACTGTGATACCCGTTGTGGTTCTGACCCTGAAGTTTACTGTGCACTTTTTCAAGCTCAAAGACTTGTGGTCCTTTCTTCCCTGGATGTTATTTATATCCTGGACCTCACACCATATCCGAGATGGAATTCGTCACGGCTTGTGGATATGCCCATTTGGAAAAACTTCTCCTTTGCCATTCTGGCTTTATGTAATAATTACATCATCTTTACCTCACATCTGTTCATTCGTTATGTATTTAACAGGGACCAGACGAGCGATGTCTTCAAAACACGGAATTCATATTGATGTCTGAGGTAGCCATATGGCAGTCTTAGAGAAGCAACTGATTCAGACATCGATGACTAAGGGTAGCCAACATTAACGTGAATTTTTAAAAACATATTAGCTATTTATATTAATGATTATAATTCCTGAATCCTCTTGCTTAGGAGGCATGTACAATTTTTAGAAATTTTATATATTTTTTGTAATTCTATTTCTCTCTTCTATAATACTCTAGTGCAATATTAGAGTTTCATTTATTCCATGATATATTTTTATTGTTTCTTCTGTTGGTCTGGCTTTACTAACAGCTCTATTAGATTAACATCCATTAAGTTTTCTGGGAGTAAACCTTTAAGGTAGTACATTTCCTGATGAAAAACTGCTCACATTTTAGGGGGACTAATTTGTGGAAAGTTAGCATTATATTTGGATCCACATTTTCCTGAGATACTGAAACAGTGAAATGGCCAAAATAAATGAGGTCATGAATAAGATGTATAGTGAACACGAACATTTCTTGATTTCATGTAAGTTGATCCTGACTGAAGTTTAATTTGCCAAGTGCCTTAGTGAGTTGTGGTTACTAGCAGAATCTGCTTTGTTACACTTGTGAGAAATCACTATAATATTCATAAAAGACAGTAACTAACATTATGTCTGGTTATTGTTTCAGAAATCAGTTTAGGAAATAATTACTGTAATATGTTGGCTATAGTAACATCTTACTCAAGTATTATTTTTTGAGTATCTTTGCCCAAAATTGAATGTTAGGGTTTTAACTGTTTTGAAAAACATAACTATATTTAACAAAATACTTGTTAAAAATTAACGTGAACAAAATATTGATACTTGGCTCATAAACATAGAATTTGAATTCACACAAAAAAGGACGTACCAGTAACGTCATTTCAAATGTAAATTCCTGAATGTGCGATTAAAATTGTTTTAGTTGTTATCGATTTGTTTACACACTATTCTAAAGTATTATACCAGTTAAATAATTTTTTAAAAATCTGCCTGATAAAAAACATATTTTTTTCAAAATAAAGTAATTTTAGGAAATTTGCTTTTTCCTTTGTTTTTTCAGATTGATCTTCTGTTAAAAGTGATTAACCTTTATTAGAGAAGGAAAATTTAGTCACTGTGAATTTTGCATTTGCACAGGTTAATGTTACTTTGATATAAAGGTCAATGCCCCAAAGGCATCTGCTTTTTTTGGTAGGATGTGTGTTATCTGCTGTCTTCAGATTGTCTTACATATTTGATTTGTAATGCTGGTGGTTGTGTGCCCTATTCTCTGAGAAATGATGAAGCAATGGCTTATCCACAGCAGATTTTTCTTACTTATTAAGTTAAACAGAGTTCTGTAAATTGTTATAAAAGTTCAGGCTCTAATTTGGTTTAGTTTCTCTTTTTGTTGTTAACCAATTGGTCTCTTTCCATTTTATTTTATAATCTGCTAGATCTTATAATCTGTTAGTATCTTTCTAGAGCAATTATTGTGTAAATTTGGTTGTTTTAATAGTAAATATTATATAAGTGGGTAAATTTGATTAAGGTAGGGATTTTTAAAAAGCATATGATTTCAGAAATCTATGGAAATAAAGCATATATCTTGTGTAACTTTGAGTAAATTATAAAACACTCCTTTTTTCTTTCTCCACATTAAACAAAAGAATACCATTAGACTATAAGGCCTTATTTAAGAATGTCACATTGGCATTTTGGGGGTTGTCCTAACTTTCTTTATTAGATTGGGAATCCACTTTGACCATGACTCCTTGCTTAAACAATAACTGCAAATTTTAAGTGTGGGTTTATCTTTGTTCCTACCTCTACCATCAAAAATGTTCCTTGTCCTCTAAATGGTCTTTGAAAGCTGTGGTTATAACCTCTAGAAATATAGCAGCCAACTTCCCATGCTACCATTTCGTTCCTGCTCCTAGTGAGAGAGTTTGTGTCAATACAACATTATGTTGAAAGTTGGATTGTATCTTGTTTGCATGTGTGTGTTTTTTCCATCCTCTAGGTGTTCCCTATTCCCTTAGTGGTTTCTCTCTTGGCTGTTTCACTGATATGACCTCCCCATCCACTGTTTTCTTGAGCCATGTTAGTTATGCTGGCTACTCAAAGAGAACTTCCACCCCTGAACTATTTTCTACTCATCCCCAAGCCTAGTTTTCTTTAGTGGTGAGCTAAGACCCTGTTTCATACGGATTAAAACTCCCATTTTTCCTCATGTTCTTTCTTGAGTCAGCCAGCCCCACCCCACACCCCCAACACCCACCCAATTGGGCAGATGCTCCCTGGCTCCTTTTTCTTTGGAAGTTGAAACAATTACTTAGTTTTTCACCTTTTCCCAACTGAATGGAGGAGGAATAGGGGCTCTTCTGGTTCTTGCTCACCACTGTCATAGCTAAACCTTTTATCCATCATAGTTCTCAGTTTTCTTCATTTGCTATCTCATTCTATTGCTCGCTCCCAATCCTCAGCCTCACATACTACTGTCTAAGACTTCTTTGACGGTATGAGCACTTGGATCCCTTCTTCCCTTTTATCCCTTTGATTTTGTCCTCAGTCATCTGATGGGCTCCAATAGTCCCCACTTCTTGTATACCACTGACTCTCATCACCACATTACATCAGCCATCCGCCAGTACCACAGCCCTCGGTACCTCCTTTTTAGGTGACATTGCGCATCTCTGAGATCTCAAACTTTGTTTCCTTTTTCTAGACCAGTGGTTCTCAAACTCTAGCATACATCAGAATCACCTGTACGGCTTGTTAAAACAGGGATTGCCTGACACCCACTCCCAGAGTTTTAACTTGGTAGGTCCCGAGAATTTTCCAACAAGTTCCCAATTGATATTGGTGCTATTGTTCAGGAACCATACTTTAAGAAGCCCTGCTCTGGACCCATCCCGTTTCTTTAACTTCATTTTTCTCCCCTCCCTTCTCTTCATTGAGCCAACTCTTTGCCTTATCGATCTCTTTCATTGTTCTTAAACTTCCTTTGTAATCAGGTCCATCAGCCTTCTGCTAGGGACATTAACTGTTCTTGCCCTACCTACCGTGGTGCTGTAGGTTATTGTTTCAACTATTTCAACACCCTACTACCCCAGACTTCCTCGTGAACTAATCCAATTAGCCAACCCTGAATAATCCGCTTAGTCCACTTTCCCTGTTCTACTTTAGACCACATGTCTCTAAAGTAGTTATGGAACCAGGCTTGCTTGGCCTACTACCATTCATACTGTCTGACTTCAGCTGGGTACTTAATAACACTCTGCTCACTACTGAGCAATTTTTTCCCAAATATTGTACCAGACAAGACAAGCCTCAGACTCTCTGCCCACATTAGGTCTATCCCCAAGCCAGGAGGCTCACAGCATTCCATTGATCTGAGCAACTCCTATTAATAATTGATCTCCACAGTTACTTTGCACTTTGCATAAATCCAAGGCATTGCCACATGCGTCCCCTTGGCATTTCTTTACTTCCCAGGAATAATGATAATAATTAAAGGGTTCCTGAAGCATTTTACCCTTTTGACTGACCTTGCAAGGAGTTATTTGGCTTACATACCCGCCAGCACTGATTAATGTTGCTTCACGTCTGGGAAGCATTCCAATCCCATCAACCCCATAATTTTCTGAACAGGAAAGGAATGTCAGACAAGAGCTCTGACCCCTCCTCCACTCTGACCCTCCTCAGACATCTGCGTGGACTCTTAAGGAAAGTTCCCATCAGAATTCCCACACCATCCCTCAGTCAACAGTCACCTGACTTCATTTGAGTGTCGCCCAGGTTTCGAGGTCAGCAATATTGATACCATGCACGTAAAGTGGAAGGCAGAGAGAAAATGTTCCCTAAATATCTGGGTGACGCTAAATAAAGTATAAAATGTGGGATAGTGGTCACATAACAGACCGCATGCAAGTGTTCCATGTCTAAATGATGGTGATCATACCTCACCACCCTCGGTTATTTCACACAATCACAGGGAGTGGCTGAAGCTTTTTAAAAGCATTCTTGAGAGACCAGCCATAAGGAACACTGTATGCTGCCGAGGCCCTGCTCTTCTTGGAAAGTCATGTGTAAATACTCCACTTCCTTCTTCCTGCACCTCCTTGGCTTTTTGCCCAGTCTATAACAATAGCCTCTCAGTTTTAGGCCTGATTCCCCAGCCAGCAGAGACTCAGGTGTTTCTCTTGAGTCTCAACTGCTTGGCACAGGGCTGCTTGGTTAATCCGACCTCATAAAGGGTGGCATGGGCCCCAGGCCAATCCTGGAAAGGGCTCTGCCACTCCTAGTGTGTGAGCCGCACAGCAAATCACTCTGCAGGCCCTCTGCTCCCATCTCGACGAGTCAAGCCAAGTGATATGGGATTAAAATAAACCTCAAGGGATCTTTAAAAGGGTAAAAATACTACAAAAAAGTGAGAAGAAAGAATGGAAGAGAGATGGGAAGCCTGCCTCCTTGGCCTGCTTAGAGGTTCTAGGGTGTGTGTGTATGTATCCTGTATTACTCTTCTTTTGCAAGACAAATGTATTATCTTACAGTTTGTTGTCAGAAATCCGACACAGGTCTCATTGGGTTAAAATCAAGGCATCAGCAGGGCTGTATTCCATCTGAAGCTTCCAGGGGAGAATCTGTTTCCTTGCCTCTTTCAGTTTCTAGAAGCCACCTGCATTCCTTGGCTCCTGGCCCTCTTATTCCATCTTCAAAGCCAGCAATGGCAGGTCAGTTTCCTTTCCACGTTGCATCTTTCTGATCCTCCTTCCACACTCATGTCTCTCTCCAACTACAGCTGGGGAAGGTTCTTCAATTTAAGGACCCATGTGATTATATTGGGCCACGTGGATAATCCAAGCTAAGCTCCTCATCTCAAGTCATATTTGCAAAGCCTCTTTTGCAATGTAAGCTAACATATTCACAGGTTCCAGGCATTAGGATGTGGAGATCTTTGGAGGCCATTATTCTGCCTCCCCTTAGATATTTTTAGTGGTTGTTTTGTTGGTAGTGATTTTATTTTCTTTTTTGGCTGGGAAAAATTTGCCCTGAGCTAACATTTGTTGTCAATCTTCCTCTCTTTTTCCTCTTTTTTTTCTTTTTTCCTCCCCAAAGCCCTAGTACATAGTTATATATGCTGTAAGTCCTTCTAGCTCTTCTCTGTGAGCCGCTGCCACAGGATGGCTACTCATGGACGAGTGGTGTGGTTCTGTGACCAGAAACCCAACATGGGATGCCAAAGCCAAGCATGCTGAATTTTAATCACTAGGCCATCAGGGCTGGCTCTGTTGGTGGTGGTTTTGTTGGTTTAACATGAGCATTCCTGAGACCACTTTCTTGAATCCTGTGCACTGGACCAGGCTCTTGTCCTGGTGTCTTTGGACGAGTCACTCATCCTCTTTGAGCCAATGAGGAATAGGCTAGCTGCTTTCCAAGACTCCTCTCCTGCTGTAACTTTCTAGAGCCCACAGCTCCTTATCCTAGTGATGGTGGGGCTCCTCAAATTCTGGGGAAATGGCCTCCAACTTGCCTTGCCAGAGTTAAGTTTGTTCTCGGGATAAGAATGTCCTTTTCTTCCCTTGCTATTAACACTTATGGTTGTATTTCTCCTCTGTTTTCTCCATGTAGAACTATAGAATCTTTATACAAACCCTTTCTCTACTCTCCGTGAAAAAAAAAAAAAGATTTAAATTCATAAAAGTCTTGGCCAGTTAAACATTCATAGTTCCTTTGGGTGAAAATGAATACAATACTTGCCGTGTTCTAATGGCGAAAAAGATGCAGACCCTTAAAAGAACTCCTAGGCTAGTTATGGAGAAACACAGGAGACGGGACATTTCAGTACAGCCTGGTAAGTGGTGCAAGAGAAAACACAGGGTTTCTGAAGTCCCACTGGCGAAGAAAGGGAAGTTCCCTGAGAAGTAAAAGAAAGGCCGGAGGGCTCCAGTGAGCGTGAGGGTGAGGTGATGGGAGAGGGTGGGAAGATCCCAGAAGGCAGAGGGAAGAGCATTTACAAAGGCCCTGCGTGACAGCTCATGGGTGAGATCGGAGGTAACTCAGCATTGCTAGAGCAGAGTGCTTGAGGTGGGAGAGTGGTGAGGGTTGAAGGCAGTAAACTGACCTTGACCCAGGCCTGGAAAACGTTGTCAGCCTGTTAAGGAGTTGGGAATTTGTCCAGAGGGCAATGTGGAAGCATTGAGAGGTTTAAGCCTGAGGTTGGTACCATCGGGTTTGAGTTTATTCCTGGAGTCTATAACTGGGAGCCAAATCCAAGAGCTCCTACATTCTAATTGATGTCATGTAGCCATGTGGCCTTCCCATCAAGAACTTTGAAGGTTAGAGGCACGGCAGCAATAAGAAGCCTCTATACTCAGTGCCAGTGACCTCTAAATTTGGGCTACTTATAATCTAAGAACAAAATAGTCGAAATAGTATCTAAGCAAAATCACCCCTACCTTAAACAAACCAGGGATGTGGTCTCTCTCCCCTTGACTGTAGCCTTTTTGGATCAAGTCTGGCCTCTTTCCATGGAGCACTGGACAATCTACAGTCTTAGAATGGAACATGCTAGGGCTCTCCTTTGTGCACATGCTGTTCCCTCTATCTGGAAGGCTTTTCCTGCACAATTAAGCATCTGGGTAGCTCTTACTCTCCCTTCAAGACTCACCTCC